TGCCTTCCCGCCCGCGCCCCGGCGCCCCCGCCGCTCCCGGCCGTCACTAGGTGTCAGCCGCGCTCCGTGGGAGCCCCGCGCCCGCGTGGGACCGGCCCGCGGGGGTTTCGGCTGCCTCCGGGCTCCGCTGGGCGGGTGTGGGGAGCGTTGATGGGGAGGAGGGTCCCTCTCCACGTACAGAAAGTGAGGTATATTGTCTATACACGAATCTGCACATTTTCACTTTGTCACTTAAAACGCTGTCCAGTAATTTTTTTAAACCCTCTTCTCTCGGAAGGCTATGGTTAGCGTTCCTTCTCTCACGCGCTTTTATTCTGCTTTTCTACAGCCAGCCCTCCACAAGCTCTCTCCATGAACGAGCTACAGGAAATAACCGATGACATTTCCAAACTGACCATTGTGCACGAAATCGTACTCAACAGTGACTTCAAACTGCAAGCGGCCAGCTTCTCCCCAAAAAGGTGTGTATTCAGGCTTGGCTTCGTTCTGTCACATTACGGAAAACACGTGAGAATGTGGGGAGGAGGTGGGTTTGGATCTGACTGTAGAAGTAACAAGAAAATAAGATAGCTCCTGAAATAAAGTGTTGGAGCTTGTTTTATTTATTCATTGCTTCATGACTTACTAAGAAGTTCTTAAATATGATGAGTGTCAGACATGACTCACTAACATTAAAAGATTTGGAGGCTTCAGCTGCATAAGCTGTGACTTTGACATGAACAAAGCAGACTTTTCAGTGACAATCTCCTCTGAGGTGCCTATGTTTCAGTTGAAGATCTGTTTAAGTGACTGACATTCTCTCATTGCAAAAACAAGCACTAGCTAGAAAAACATTCTGTTGATCTTCTCTGAGGGCTTGGAGAGTTTCCTTGAAAACTGCTATGCTTTTCTTACCCCTCAGTTAAGACAGGTTAAGTGCTACATTTTATAAACAGGGTTGACAGGAAGGAGTTCCGCTCTAGAAGACCAGGGAATTCAGGTTGAGAGAGATTTCCATGAGCTGGGGAAAGGTGAGGCGCATTGCTGCCAGATAGGAGTAAAGACTAAGAGAAGAAAATGTCCAAAGACCTGAACTGCAATGAAAGCCAAGAGGAATGGTCCCACTGAACTGAGAGGTTGTGGTTGTCTGATGTTAACAGAAAACCTCTCCCCTCCTCTCTTCTTTCTTAGCCTGCAAAACAGAGTGAAGGAGACATTGCACAAAGCCTTCTGGGACAGCCTGGAGGAACAGCTCTCTGCTAGTCCCCCAGACTGCACTCAGGCAATCCAGCTGCTGCAGGAGGTGAAAGAGGTGAGTTGTTCCTGAACCAGAGAAGACGGTTACCTTAGAATTAGTCTCCTCTGAATCATCACCTCACCCCTTACATCCAATATTCCTATGCGAACATGCGTAAGAGGGAGGAGAAAATAGGCTCCCTTTAGTTTATAGGGAGACACAAATTACACGACTACACCTTCTAAAACCTGTCTGAGAAGGAAACTCATCCTCTGGTCCCAGGTCTTTAGAAGACATACTCTACCAAAAGGATGGAAAGCCTTTGTTTGAAACGTTGGCTATAGTAACAGCCGTAGGCCATTCCTGGTATAGTGTCTCCCAAACAAAAACTGCAATTCTCTATACAAAGACACCTCTTTAGGCATATGAGGAGCTCCATCTACTATTTAAGTGTACAATGAAGTGAGTAAGAACATGGTTTAGCACTAAAAGACATATGTTCTTAGCAGGGCATGAAGTTGCGTCTAGTTTGCTTTTTCAGTCTATGCTTTCCCATTTGGCTCCAGACGGATAACTCCCTTCTTTCATGCATGACAGTAAAGGAGGTTTTGCGAGATTTGAAACAGTAGCCAGACATCCTGAAGTGAGTCATTAGAGTCGAGCATTCCCTTAAAGCGATTGTGTGCCCCAGAATTTGTGTACCGAGTAGTTAGCTTAGTCTCAATACAAGGCCAAACTCGATTCCTGTTGAGCAACTCTGGACAACTGTGGAGTTCCTGGAACAAAAAGAGACTGCTGCTTCTTTGGGCAGGCCCTGCTATCATTGCTGCTGCCATGGCACAACCAACTGCGAAGCCAGATTGAAGGGGCCTTGGACATGGAGTTGATTAGACAGGAGGCTGAGCATGGGGCTCTGGATATCCACGGTCTCACCACGTACGTCCTTGGCACAATGGCAAGGCTGTGCGCGCCCATTCGAGATGAGGAAGTACGAGGGTTGCAAAGCCTCACAGACCCAGCTCAACTTCTCAGGTGGGTGATGCTGACTCTGCCTTGGTCTACGCAGGCCAGCAAAACCTTCAACCATAAAACATTGGGGTAAGAGGAAACTGCCTTGGAATTATGGCCCATGGACCCTTTCGTGCATTCTGGGCTTTGGCTTCCTTATTTTTTTCAACGTAGACATATTCCTGTTGCCCAACTGCAATTTAGACAGTAGAAGAGTCTTTAGTGAAGTAAATCTGGTTTATCTAGCAATTTTTAGGGACTGCTCCAATTAGACTGAACAACCTTTTGTGAGAAAATGGAATCAAGTCGGAGGATCTGAATTCCCCTTTCTCAGCATTCTAAAATGGCCCCAGCTACAGCATTTACTGCAGTATTAAACCTTCAATTCACTGTGTCTCTTCCCAGGGAGATTTTCCGGGTGTTGGGCCTGATGAAAATGGACATGTTGAATTTTACCATCCAGAGCCTCCGCACCCACTTGCAAGACCACACCATCCAGTATGAACGGAAGAAGTTCCAGGAACTCTTGGATAAGCTGCCTAGTAAGTCGGAGGGGAAGGGAGAGGAGAACTGCTACTTCTACAGGAGCTATTAAAGCACTAAAAGGGAACTTTTAGTATTCCAAAGGCAATGCTTTCATCACGTGCTCAGCAACAGATGAGAGAAATGCCTCTAAAAGCTGGAGGACTCCTGGGTCCCTTCCTCAAGGCTCTTCACTAACATACCTTGCAGAAAAGAAGTTACTTAGTGTGCTTCCATTTCTGCACGCGTAAGACAGAGCTAATAGCCTTCCCACGAGGAACTGTAAGTTCCCATGAGTTTAAAGTGTTTTGAGAGCCTCAGAGGAATGAGCAAAATGTTGTTAGGTGGCATATTTAAAGAGGAAAGCCTGCATTTGATGTAGACATCTCTTTTGCTAGGCTGCAGAAGATTTCTCTCTGGCTGCCTCTCTCCTTCATGAGACTCCATTAAAGGTGCTTCTTGGAGACTGAAATCCTCTATGAAATACAGTGTTCTCCGGGTACCAGTCTCAGTAGCCTAACCCTGCGCCCTGGCAACAGGACATTGACGTTGTATGTTAGTGACAGCGTAAGCCATTCCCCACCGTTCCAGGAGCCAGCACGATGCCTTTGCCTTCCAAATGCACACCCCCTTCAGCTTGCGGTATAGCATACCTGCTTCTTACTGACTTAGCCTGACCAGTCTGTTCTTGCAAACATCCGTTTTTGTTACCCCGTTGCAGGTAGCCTGGATTGCACAAGAGAGTGGCTGCGCAAAGCAGCAGCAGAAGTGTCCGCGTCCTCTTCACAGCCGCCGCCCCACCCTGCCGTCGGTGGCTCGCCTGCCGCACACTCGCCGGGGGCCGTCAGCAGTAGCACAACTGTGCCAAGTCTCATGTCCGTGCTAAATCGAGGATACATGAATCTGCTCTGCTGGGAGCCTGGGCAAAAGGAATACCCTGAGGTAGGAGAAGTGCTTGGACAGCTTTACAGCGTTTTCATAAAGATGTGCAAAATGAACAAGTGTACCGGTTCTGCATCTTCTATAGAAAGAACTGGCCAGACTCTCTGTCCCCTCTACACCATGAGTCATTGCACATGGCTTTTCCCTATGTGAAACAAACTGGATTTTTCACAAAACTAAACCTTCCGACTGCCAGGCAGCTGCCTTCCACTCAGCTTCGTGGGGATGTTACAGCCCTGCTCCGTGGCTTGAGATCTGCTGAGTTAGCACAGCTGCTGTTTCCACACCCACAGGCTGATTTGGTTTCTGTTCACAGACACTGTTTATGGATCAGGCCCGACTGCAGGATGTACAAGCGCAGGTGAATCAGCTTACCATCATAGCTGCAGTCCTGCTAGTGACCAGTGGCATGTGTGGAAGCACCTTATGTGGCTCACCTGGGTTTGTAGCTAGGCTGAAACGGGTAACAAAGGTCCTCTTGGAAGGGCTGTCTTGTACCAGGTGGGTTACTTTGAGTTTTCTTTTCCAGAAGGAGAAGAGTGAGTATGCAGGCACTGGTTGGTTGTGGGATGAGCAGCAGGAATCTCCCCTGGGAGTGGAAGAGGATCTGAGATCCAAATAGCAGCCAGGTCTACTGCAAGAAGTGGGGGAAGCCAGCCAGCATTTTTAGCTGGGAGTTAACTCTCTAGAGCAATAGTCCCCTCTTGATTAGAGGGGAGAATTAGTAGTGCTGATCGCTATTTCATGAGTCAGCTGCAGGGCAGCCTTACTGCTTGCCAAAGCGCCAGGAAGGGAAGCTTAGTTTAGAGAGCTCTGTCTGGATGTTGGTTGTCCTGTGCTAGCTGGCTGTGACGCCACTCCACTGGCACGTGGAGAGACGTCCCTGCTTGCTCTGTGCCTGCAAGACCCCTTCCTCAACCACTGTGAGTCGTGGCCGGAGTACATGTACCTTTGTGTGATTTAGGAATGAAGAAGCTTTAGAAGACATCGGTGACCAAGTGCTCCAGGAAGTCAGCAGGACTCTCTCGCAGCTGGGTTACGCTGCTTTTACCACTGACAAATATGCTTCCCTGAAAGGCCAGATAAAAAGCATCGCGGACAAGGGCAACGCAGTCCGGCATGTCATCGGTGAGTCTCTGAGCTTACGTCTAACTCGACCTTGAAGCCACTTTGCACTCGTAGGCCACAACTTAAGATTTAGGTTAATGACCCTGGAGCGTGCAGGACAGGCCTAGGATCGGTACTAGCAAAGCAGACTCCCTGCATTGAGCAGAACTACAGCTTGAGGGTGGGAGCTGAGTTCACTGTCTGGCCCCTCCACATAGTCTGCGCAGCAGAGGAGGGTCGGGGAAGCTAGGTTTAGAAACTGCTTGATTTAATCTATTCCACCCTGAAACACTCCCAAACAGTAATTGCTTTGAAAAGTCTCTTAAATCCTCCCATCCTTGTTAAAAGCTAAACAGGCTCAAGTGCAAGGTCTGTTCCTAGGCAGTGTTGCAATCTTCAGGCTAGGATGTAGAGCGAGAGCTTAATCGCTGGCTGTAGTAAAGCACCGTGCTAAGATCTTTAAATAATACTTATCCCTAGAGTGTGCACTGCTTGGTATTCAGCTAACCAGCTGCCCTATAACGCTGCTCCATCAAAATATTTATTCAAATGGTTTGGGTAAGAACTGGTTATTTTGACCTTTTATTAGTACTCTGAACGCTAAGTCTGCATCAGATTGCAGTGCCACAGCCAGCTCGTACGCTACAAGAAAGATTATTTCCACATGGAAGACTAGCTTTTATCAGCTATGAAAATAAGGTGAGGCTCTTCCTGCCCGCTGCTTCATCTTGTTAAGTATCCTTCCCAGCCCGTGTGGACTCCGCCACACTGTTTATTTGGGTTTATTCTTTCCATGTCAGAGCAGGCTATTTTGTTTTGATGTAATTCGGAAGGCTGAATTAATAGCCTAAACCAAACCTCGATGAACTACAGGCTGGGCAGCGTGTGATGGCAGTGACTCACTGACGGTGTGGCATTAGAAGCTGCAGAACTAGACAGCCTTCCCCCCCTCCGCGTCCAAAACTCAAACCCATGTTTTGCCTGCACTTTTGGCCACTCTCAACATTTTCTACGTACTCCAAGTGCAAGAACATCTGAAGCAGCCGAGTAGTTGTCTCTCAGCTCTGTGTTCCTCAGAGAGGCTTCGTGAATGCTTTCCATTTCAAAATGCTGCTGTGGCAGGCAAGATAAATCCCGGGCTCTGAAGTTGCGCTTCTAAGATGCTTGACACTTCAATGCAGTACAAAAACTCTTTAGAGTGGGTGAAAAATCTTTACTGTTGACCTGCTCCACTTTAACATTAGGTTTGATAGATTTGACCATTCTTCAGCCCAGTACCCCAGCGATAGCCGTCGTTAGAAGCAGCTATCCAGGACAAAGTGAAAACAAGGCAGGTACACCCGATACTCGAGTACTCTCCTTGTGGCACAGTTTCACCTCGGTTCCTGTGCCGGATGCTGTTTCATCTGCTCAGCATTTGGAAGAGGAATACGTTAATCCACTGAGTCGATCTAGAGCGTTACTTGTCCACGACATCCTGCCACCATGCGGCTGTCCTCAGGTCTGCTCTTGACTGCGTGAGGAAGCCTTTGTCTCAAAACTAGCTTTCTGTGCAAAGGTTGGTTGTTGATTTTTTTATGTTTTCATACTTTTGCTCCCTACAGAGCAGCGGATTCGTTTGTTCCTCAGCCTTTTCGTTTCCCCTGATGGACAGAATTCTCAAAAAGATTTCCCAAAGGGCCTCGATCCCATTCAGGAAGAGCTGCTGGAAGTTGGGCGCAGGTTTGGAAGCGTGATCCACCACAACAGGCAGGTGTTTGGACCTTACTACTTGGAAATTCTCAAGGAAGTGCTTCTCCCAGAGGCAGAACCAGGCTCGGATGCACGGATGGATGCTTTCTGATCATATTCACCACGTACTGGGCAGGGGTGGAACACGTTCTCCAACAGTTTCTCAAATGATGCTTCAGCTTGTAAAAATCAGTCGGACAAATCCACCGGGGCCAGCATTGCTACTGGGAAGTGACTATTGGCATGTCAGTACCTGAATAAACCTCTCAACTACAAAAGGTAGTGGCTTTTTTTCCCCCAAAGAACCTGCCACTATTTGATGGGGAAGGCAAGGGGATGTAGAGCTCATAAAACTGCAGGTTTTTTTAATTCAAGGTGTTAACTGTGCTGTGGGCCTGTAACCTCCTTTGCCGAGATGTTAGTTACAGCCCAGGGACGCTGTTTGCATTTGATAAAGCCATGTGGTGTTTAGAATCGTTAAAACTGCTCGATATATCTCAATGTTAGCTTGAAAACCTGACTTACTGAATTATTAGAAATGGAACAGATGGTATAAATTTAGCAATCCCTGGTGTATTTAGTATTTTACATCAGCCAGATTTTACTTGACATGAAAATCTGAACTTTGACCTGTATTTAAATGTCTGGATTTCTTGCTCCAATTTTACATAATGAAAATGTCCTACTTCTTGGCAAGCCAACAATCTTTGCTGGGTAAATACTATACGCAATGGCTGCCCAAACTGTTACAGTTGTTGCATGAACCACTTGCTGCCGTGCTGCAGAAAAGTGATTTTAGTGTTCATCATGAGTAAATTAGGGTCCTGACAGTCCCCAGGGGAACATTAGTGGGGGTAAAAATGAGCTTTTCTCACCATCGTGTGGAGAACGTACACAAAGCGCTTGGAGACCGTTGTGCTATAGGTCAGTCTATCTTTAACAGAACATGGGGATGCATTTTTATGCATCAATTAGTTTGTCTCAAAATAATAACATTCAATATTTGGGGTCGTCATTATGACTAACCGCAGAAAGAGCGGCTGCAGCCAAAGTGAATACTCGGCAGCCAGCACTCCCCATCCTGCACGCCGCGTGCCTCGGGACGGCACAAACCCCCGGCTCTGCTGCCAAAGAACTAGAGCGGGACTGCTCCCAGCTTACCGGCGTCCTGCGCTCTGCTTCCACAACCGCAGCGCATCATCGCTGCGCAACGCTTCGACGTTTTCCCGTTCCTCGGATTTACAGAGCAGAGAAGTGCAGGTACAGCGCTAGACCGAGCTAATTAAACACCGCGTAGCTGCCTGCCCTCACCCCTTTTCTCTTACCTTCACAGGTCAGGTCCGTTAGATGAGGATGAGAACAGCATTGCTCTAACGCAGATGAGCAGGAGACTCCGGTATAACACTGAGGTCACAGTGACAACGGGGCGAATGTGTGTCTAAGTTTTATTAATTCAGTTTGTTCTAAGTTGTACAATTATGAAACCAACAAAACGACTGCTGGAAGCCCAGGAATATTTACAATCTCGCCTTGTTGTAGTGAGGTCAGTCTATGTTGTTGCACAGATTGGTTATGTTTGGTACCACAAGATGTTTAAAATTCAGACAAATTTGAACAGATTAACAATTGTATATACAGGAAATAAAAGGAAATTCAAGTATCAAAATACAGACAGATTAAATAACATTTGTATTACAAATCAGTCCCACTGCCATACATCACAATTAGCAAAAATGTCTACATTGCAAACTGAACTCGGCTGTTCTCTGCCCTGTTAGGGAATCTCAGGTTATTCTTCCATGGGTAAGAAAAATGTTTGAGCTAGATGGACTTTGCAAGAGCAGCACAGTTACTTCTTTTTGGGAAGAAAAAAAAAAAAAAAGCAGTAAGTAATGCCAATATGAGACCTAAAAGGGAGACCTTTTGCAACACGACAGCGTTGCAGACACCGCGCTTGCTCTAAAATAAAGATCTGATTGCATGGAAATGATGCGAGCAGAAGAAAGCCAGGGGAAATTCTGCTGCTGGAAACTTCTGAAGTGGGGCGGAAGGAGCATTAGAGCGACTGACGCCACTTCAGCTGCACACAGAACTGGACGTGTTCGGAGGGACTATTTGGCATCTGGTCTGTGTCTCAGCAGCCTCGCGAAGGTACAAACTTTTCACTAGAGGTACGTCCTGGAAGGTGCCGTATCTTCTCCCTGGGAGGGGGACAGGCACGTGCCCCGCAAAAGTTGCGTAATTTCTTCTAAAAAGAACAATCCCAAAGCAAGTTCAAAGACAGCTGAACAGCTAAGATTAGCTTTTTTTTTTGTGAATACAAAATTAAAAAGGATAAAGCAGCTTCAATTTGGGAAAAAAAAATAAATTGTCCCCTCCTGTATAGAAAAAGACAACAACTCTGCATCTTATTTTACCTGTCTTGAGTTCTCAGCCTGGACTGATGCCACACACAAATCAAAGTCTGTAAAATACAAACTGTCCTTAAAAAGGGGAACAAGGCCCAGGGCAGCAGCACCTTCTCCCAGGCAGGTAACACAGCAGATGCTTTTTGATTCAAAGTCCCGTTCAGCACCAGAAATTTAGGGCACTTTCCCTCCAGATACCACGCAACCCCGTAGGGAGGAAGAGCCAGAATACTGTGCAATGGATGGGTTAACAGATTACTGGGAGTCAGCGACTGGCATGGTCCAGGATCAGTCTCCAGCATGCAAGTACCTTGAGAAAACCCATCCACATAAAAGGGGAGATGCGCTGCCAAAACAATTGCTTCGTCTATGAAGTGAGAAAGAGAGCATCTGGCTAAAGAACTGCTGGATCACTAAAGACAACCATAGGATTACACGCAGGACTGGAAAGGACCACCAGGGTCACCAAGCCCAGTCCCCTGAAAATTGGAGTCTTCATCACCACTTCACCTCCAAGCCAACCTTCAAAAAGCTCATGCAGCAAAAAAAAAAAAAAAAAAAAGGTGTCCCTCCCCAAGCAGAGGGTCTAAT